TTCTGACTATTTCTGGCCATGTTGGATTGTTTTGTATTCTCTTCCGCCCCAAGCCCCCTCTTAGACGAACACGCACGACCTAAAATTCGAAACGCTTCGCGTAACCCCACCAGCCCACTCGATTACGCGGAAGTGGCGTTCGGGAACTAGGGTTCGAATTGCCTCGCCATTTTGGCGCTGCACGCGGACCGGATCCACCTCCTGGTCTCCTGCGGCATCGTCGTTTTCGGCCAATATTTCAGCGCCCGCTTCGCCTTCTGAGTCACAGCGTAGTTCGCTCCTGCGCGCTTAGTGCCTAATCTAGATGTTGGCGCAGCTGCCTCGCGTCTGGACGGCGCGCGGTTGGACCGTGACGCTCGCGAACAAAAAGTAGCCCCACCAGCCTCCGTAGTCCCTCTGGCTCAAGCCGTCTCACGGGCCTTGCTCCTTCGGGCCAGTTTCCCGTGCTCAAGGGGGCGCCCGACGCAGCACCGCGCGCCCCGGCCCGCGCCCGTGCCCGCCGCGCGCGCTGCCATAGCGGCGACCCCCGGCGAGGCGCTGCCCGTTCCCCGGCGAGGCACAGTGTTCGCCTCAGGTGGGAATGGAGGGTGGGGGGACCGACGGACCTCCGATCGATCGCACTGGCAACAACGAGGGGGTCGGAAGCCTTGCAGTGTCGGACTTCGGGGTCCAGCCGCTGGCCCTGGCGGACCCTCCCCCGGACCTCAGACAGTCCCAGATCCCTCCCGGACAGCCCTCTCCCCCAGCTCCGGTTGCAGATCGAGGTCCAAGCCCGCCGATCGCGCTCGGACAAGACCTGCTGGGCGGCCCTGGCCCCCAACGGTGCTATGATATACTCCTCTGACAGTGCGACCGTCAGTCGCGAGGGAGGTGGTGCCCCAGTGCGGTGCTCTGTGATACATTCTGAAAGTAGCGGGACCGGTAGTCGCGATCCTGGCAGCCCTGGCAAACAATGTTATTCCCCCCCGCTAGTCACCTTTGACGACGACGTCTGTCCAACCCTTCCCTTTTATCCCGTGGGCCCTCCCATCGCTTTGCACCCGGGTGGATGCGACCTACCCGGCACTGACGCCACGGCGGGCCCTGGCCCCAGCTCCCCGCGGACCCGTAGGGCCCAAAGTCAGACCCCCTCAGCTCCAGAACAGCGCCCCCTTGCCCCGCAGGAGGCCGCATAGGACGAACGTGACCGCTCGGACAACGCTGGAGGGGGGGGGGAGCTGGCGGTTTCGAAAGCTCGGCGCCTGGAGGAAATGACAGTCCTGGCGGCGCCTCCCTCGGTTCAACGGAAAGTGCAGCCATCAATTGCGCAAGGCCTCGACAGGACAGGTGCGACCCCACTGACGGAACGCGAGCAGACGGCAGAGGACTCCCTCGTACCCTGGCGACGCGGCAAGAGCGGAACAACAACGCCGTCGCAAGCAGTCCGCCCAGCGCCGCCCCACTGGCTGACCCCAGATGTAAGCCATCAGAAAGTGCAGCCGTTAGCTGCGAAGTCACACCCCGCAGTCCCTCTAACGAGGCTCGGGAGAGCCGGATCCGCCTCGATGCAGCGCAGCCTTAGCCTGGCTTCAGCGCAGCAGCCCAGTGCCCCCGCGCCAACGCGGCCCAGCCAGATCGATCCAGGTCAGCTTGACACTGATGCTCTGCCGATCGGGGACCGATCTTCTCGCCTTGAGCCTTCCATCTCCTCCCCCAACCCTTCCCGCCTCCCTGCCTCCCTCATCGGCCCTCCTGGCTCGAGGGACGGTGCCGTGCACATTCCCCCTGGCTTGCCTGAAGGAGCACCTGCCCTGGCAGGCCCCCCGCAAACCCTACAAGGTTCCCCCGACTGATCACCTGCGGGAGACTCTGTCATGCCCTCGGTTCAATACGAATCATCCGATTCGGATGAAGCCGGGGGCGGGTTGAGTATGGGTAGGAGAAGGGCCCAGTTCAGCGTTGACACCCGCGCGCCTTGGCTGGACGCCACAGGCCGCACGAACGCCCCCTCGAGGCAGAGCCGCGAGGGCGATGGGCCGAGCAGCGGCCCGAGGGTGGCCGACCCGAGGGTCACTGGGAGAGGCGGCGTTCTGCGTGCGCCCCTCCGCGAATATACGCGGGTAGAGGGACCCTGGCGGGAACTCGAAGATCGGGGGCAACCTCGGAAACCCGAGCAGACCAATGGGCTGGAGATGCTCGTCCACCACTGCTGGGGACGACATCGCTCTGGGCACCCTGGACTCCGCGACGCATCCCCCTTGCGGGCCGTCCCGGATCCAGGGTCCCACACCTCCCCGCGACATCTCGGGAACGTTCCCGGTACCGCTCCCCCGGCCTTTCCGGGGAGCCTCCACAGCGCTCCAGAAGGGCCCAAGACGCCTCCCAGGAGCCTCGAGAGTGCGAAAGGATTGCCTAAGACACTCCCAAGCAGCCCAAGTGAGCTTTCCGACGGCTCTCGAGGCTCCCAGATTTCCTCGAAGAGGCCTCAAGAGAGGTCCGAGAGGCGTCCCGGGACGGCCCGAGGCCAAAATCGTAGATTCTCATTGGTTATTTCCATGTTTCTGGCTTCTCGCGTTTTCGAGCTTCCAACGGTCCAAGAGCGCCGAAGAGACTCCCAAGACCGCCCCAAGACCACCCAAGAGACCCTCAGGACGGCCCCAAGACGGGCCAAGAAGGCTCCAAGACTGCCGAAGAGGCGCCCACGACAGCCCCAGACCACCCCAGAACAGGCCCAAAATGGCAAGAGCGGGAACAGGAGGCGTCCAGAGACCTCCGAGAGGCCTCCGGGACCACCCAGAGGCCCCAAACACACCCCCGATCCCTGAGAGGCCCAAAACAACCCGACGAGGCCCCAAGAACAGCCCAAGAGAATTGCGAAAGCCGTCCCGAGAGAGCTCAAAGAGGGTAACATCGTTGATTTCCCAAGGTGTTTCAAATGTTGTTCGCCTTCTCCAATGTCACCAGCACGCGAAGCACGGGAAGCGACATAAAGTACGCTTTTGCGTGACCGTATCCAAGTGTGTGTGTGTGTGTTTTGTGGCTTAGATGTTGTCCCGCGCCTTCGCCTCATGACGTGTCGGCCTAAGTGTCGAACTTTTCTGTTCGCTCACTGTGCTCGCTTCAACGACGCTGCAGCTGAGCAATTTGACTGGGTTGATCGTGACTTGCGTCGCGACGCCCAGCGGGCAGGCCGCAGTCACAATGTTGACACGGTTCCTGCTTGACGGGTTGGTGGACGAATCATGGTCCGCGTCTCATTTTGATTTTTGTGGCCGTGGTTCTCGCAACATGTGTATACAAGTGTACCGTCAATTTGTTTGTTTGTGCTAATTATGTGCGTGTTTGTATACTTGTGTTGAATGTAAGTGCAAATCTACGTGTACACATGTTTGTGTATGCTTATATGTATGTATCCATTTATTATGTGCAATCACCCCGGGAGACGAGGGTCCGGGCCCTGAAGCCAGGGCTCGGCCACACATGGCGGTTCTGAGGATCCCCCAGAAGGGCGGGGGTCTGGGGGGCCTCCCAGTGCTCTCTGGGTGCTCTCCTGGCTTCCAGCGCGTGCCAATAAGGCCCCACGTGGTCCTCCAGCCGTGGCGACGAGTTTACCTCACGAGGACTAGAGGAGGGCAAAACAAGTCAAACATTTGTCATACTGCTGCGAGCGATCCCCTATACATAAGGAGACGCTGGGAATATTGTCGAAGTCCACTTTCTGCAACGCTCATTTGCGAATGTACTTTTCGAGTTTGTTCTTCACCTGAACCGAAACAGGCGTTCTGCTTGAGAGATCCCGGCGAGCTAGGCGCGACCGGGCCCGTGACAACCTTCTGGTCGACGGCCCCTTTGGAGTCCAAGTGCGATACCTGCCACATCGCGGTGGAAGAGACTCGTCCGCTGGGCCGAAACTAATTTTTTGTTCGAGAACATTTGGGCTCGGACGGGACCGGCATAACCTGCATGTCGGCATTATCTTGGGACCCTTTTCCGAAGAAATCCTCCCGTTGGACCCGAATTGGCCTTGGGAGGCCCAAGCCTGAGATGTCTTGACAATGTGAGCGCGAATGGGCGCGTGATAACATTCTGGTCGACATCCTCTTGGGAAGCACAAGCGCGACGCCTGCTATTTCGCGGTGATCATGCGCCTCAGGAGATTGAGGCTGTGCACGAGTGGGTCTGACTGTGAGTCAGTCTGAATATGAGTGCGTACGTCAGATTCTGGGTGAAGGGTAGCCAGAGACTGAGGGGGCCTGGGTATGAGCGAATCTGAGTACGATCGGGTATCAGCATGAGTACATCTCAGTGTTTGCAGCCCTTGGAGCGATTCCTGGAGCCCGGAGACGTCCCAAAAGGGCACCAAAAGCACAAACGAGGCAAGCACGCCCTCGACGCAGACGGTGACGATGATCATAACAACGACGACGACGACGACGACGACGACGACGACGACGACGACGACGGAACGACCGAAGGAACGACAGATAAATTTATGGAGGATGTTGTTAGTTTCTGCCTGTTGGGGGGCCCGTTCGGGGATCACGTTTGAACGAATTTGTGTAGGGACAGTTTCGAGGATCAAGGTCGGATGTTTGAGGTTTTTTCCGAGGGGCCTCCAGACCTTTGGAGGTCTACGCAGGAGATTTATGCAGCGAGCGGCTCAGGATTTCTCACTCGATATCGATGCGGTTCAGGATTCGACTCAACCTTCATCCGATCATCTCTTTTGTTCCTCATCGTCATATTTCTGTTTCTCCTTCTGATCGTTCCCATCTGGCTCCTTATCCTCTTCCCACGTCTTCTCATCAACTTCTGCCTCGTCCTTCACCTGCTCGTCCTGTATTGCGTTGCGCGAGATGTCCGCCTACCTTCCGTGAGTGTCTTTATCGTTTTCAAATGGCGCCGTGCGTGGCGTGCTATGGTAGCTCATCCGAGTGGATTCGCAAGCCGAGTACCCGAAAGAGGTGAAGGAGGGAGCAGGAGGGAAAGGATGGGAAGGAGGACGCGGAGAGCGGGAAAAGGCAGCTGATGGGGGCATCCTCAAGTTCTACACGGACGACGCACCGGGCCTGAAGGCACAGTTTGGCAAGGGGGACAGGCTACGAGAGATGCGGCAAGGGACGCAGCTTGCAGGGTCCTTTCGGAGCGCCTCAGCCAGAGATGCGTGGTTCACTTCGTAAACGATCGAGTGGCGACAGGATGGAAATTAGGGGCGACGTGACGGAAGATTGCTACGTGCGCCCAGAAGAATCATCACCGGGGGCGTTTGGGTGAAGCATGAGAGGGGCAAGTGATCTAGCACCTTTTTGGCAGCAAATGGGCACGCGCACACGTCACAGATTCGCACGCGCGTCGCGCACCGCATGACGCAAAAAGCGCGTCGACTTTTTGAAGTTGCGCTTGTTACGTGAATTTGAGTTCCCAAGAGGTGGAGTACAGTACGACACTAGAGTACGCAGAGTATGAGTACGGGGGCAGTAGGAGTAGGACAAATTCATAAACTAAGATTGGAATGAAGCAGGGGTGGGCTAGAGTAGAGTAGGGTAGAGTAGAATCGGCGGCATGCGACCATCATGCAGCCCCACTCCTTCTAGCCCCATCGCGTCCCAACAGTCCCATCTTGCTCCACGAAGCCGTAACACACACACACACACACTTCTTGTCCGATTGATGGGGATCTGAAATCATCATCATCATCATCATCATCATCATCATCATCATCATCATCATCATCATCATCATCATCATCATCATCATCATCACCATCACCATCACCATCATCATCATCTTGTTTGCCGAATTCCCTCAGAAGGCAATGGAAAGGCTGACATCTCACCGATTCTTACCTGGTGGGTGGCATCAGGCACCTGCGGAACGTCCAATTCCCTGAAGACTGGGACCACTTACCCTTCAGCTACCCACTACCCGACGCACCTCAGGACTACGTCTGCCCCGTCGGCACTAAGGTCGACCCCAGTGTCACCCGCAACCCCTTCACGGCGCACCCTTGGCACAGAGGCGCCATCCTTACTTTCGGTGCCACCCCTTCCACGGCCTGCGCCCCTGACCCCGTTCCTCCGCCGCCGACCGACCCCCCCCTGGCCCCCTGGATCGCTTCCCCGACCGCCGAACGCCAGCTCCCCCAGCACGCGCGCGGGACCGGTCCCCACCGCCCCCCGCGGATCGGCTAGAAGGCGCAGCCGGCCCCCGCACAGCCCAAGGCCCTCAGCTCAGGCGTGGATCCAGGAACAGGCCTCGCCGGACCCTTCCCATCTTGCGGCCGCAACGGAGATTTCGGCAGCTTCACGAGCACCCCACGACGAAGCCCGGGGCGAGGACGCTCGTCAGGGTTCTTCTCTGCCAGGTCACAGGCGCCGCCATTCGCCCCCCCTTCGATTGGCCGCAAACCCTCCAAGAACGTGGCACACGCCTCCAGCGGATCATGCGGATCGAGACCAGAGCCCTGCTCGAGCCCTGCGACGACGGGACCCAGCGGACGCGCAACGAGCTCCGGCGAAGACGAACTGTTGCACTCGAGGTGTCGCACACAGAGCTGGCAAAGAACGCGCACCTAGGGGACTGCGAGGTCTACAAGAACTCAGACAGGATCAGGCCCTGTGGCAAATTGGCTTACTTCCTATTGGGATGGGACCGCAACTACGCGATCACGCATAAGAAGTCCGACGGCCTCTGCTTCGAGAAGTTGATCCTTTCCGCGACGGGCCCCTCGGCCGACGAGATCGCGGTGTTGGATGTGGTATGGCCTGGTTTAATGGAGTTCGGAAACCCGCTTTCGACGCTGAATGCAAACGCGTTGGCGTCAACAGGGGCTACAAGCACCCTTCCAACATGTGCCTCGTCAAGTACAATCGCGAGAAGTTCGGCCCCTTTCACCCCAACCAGGACGAGGATCTCCCCATCGGCCAGGCCTCCCCTCCGATGCACCGGCTGGACAAGGCCCCGTCCGAGATGCAGTGCTGGAAGCTCCACGAAGCCGTAAAGGAAATGTGCAAGAAGGGGTACGACCCCCAGGACCTGTTCGGCGTTCCCCTCCCGGTCGCCTCTTTTGTCCTCGCATTCAGGGGCGCCAACGTCGCTGACAAGCAGGCGGCCAACAGGGTGCAGCTCGGACACAGCATTGGCTCAGCTCTCCGCCGCCGCGCGGCTGCTACCCTGGGCGCGGCCATCCACGACCCCGACACCTCCGACACCGCCCTCCCCAACGCTGAAACATTTCCAGCGATCACCACCAACGACGTCGACGAGAGCGTCGGGATAGTGTTCCAGCGTCCCAGGATTGCGCCGACAGTCACTCATCTCTTCCGCACCGCTACAGCCCTCTCCCTCAGCGACCTCTCCAGACGGGTCCTTCATTCGGAAAGCGCGCCAGTGGATGTCCCTGAATACACAAAAGAGGGGGGGGGGGGGGGTCAGACCCCCCCCCCCCCCCCCCCCACGGGGGGGAGATTTTCGAGCCCCCCCCCCCCCCCCCCCCCGCCGTTGGAAAGGGGGGGGGTTCGACCCCCCCCTCCCCTTTTTGCCGAATAGGGGCTGGGGGGGGGCCTCCCCGCAAGGGAAGGGGGTCTGGTCCCGGGATTGATTCTGGTTTCTGGATACTCGAGTCTCCGAACCCGCACAGGCTTCGAGGGGGGGGGGGGGAGGGGGAGAGGAGGAGGGAGGAGGAGGAGGAGGAGGCGACGACGACGATCATGTGGATGATGCTGCTGACGCGCTGCGCTGATGGATGTTGCTGCTGATGGTGAGGAGGAAGTGGAGGAAGAGGACGAGGACCAGGACGAGAAGGAGGAGATGGAGAGCGAGTAAGAAGAGGTGGAGGAGGATCCAGAGGGGGAAGGGGGGGGGAGGGACAGCAGGAGCAGGATGAGGAGGAGGGGGAGGACGCGGGAGGACGGACGCGGAATGAGGGAGGCGGAGGTGGTACGAAGGGGAGGAGGAGGAGGAGGGAGGAGGAGGATTTATGATGATGCTGGTGATTATGGTGATGGTGGCCATGTTCATGATAATGGTAAGGATGATGATGCTGATGCTGATGCTGATGATACTGATGATGCTCATGGTGATTGTGTTCGATGATGCGAATGATGAGGATTAGGACGATGCGGATGCTACTGGGTATGATGATGGCGGCGTTGTTAATGATGATGGTGAAGATGCTGATGATGCCGAAGATGCTGCGGATGATGATGATGATGCTCATGAGGCGCGTTTTCCGTAGTGAGTAGTGGCAAGTGCGAAGGGAGTAGTGAGGAGTGAGGAGTGAGTAGAGAGAAGTGAGTAGTGGGTGGTGAGTAGTGAGCAGTGAGCAGTGAGTAGTGAGTAGTGGGTAGTAAGTAGTGCGTAGTGTGTAGTGTGTAGCCAGTGAGTAAAGTGAGTAGTGAGTAGTGATTCGGGAGTTTCCCCGTCGGGAGTAGTGATTAGCGAGAAGCGGGAAGTGAGCAGAGAGCAGCGAGTAGTGGGTAGTCGGGGGGGGGGTAGTATGTATGGAGTAGAGAGCTAGTGAATTGTGAGTAGGGAGAAGTGGGTAGTGAAGAGTGAGCAGTAAGTAGTGGGTAGCGCGTCGTGTGTAGTGAGTGATGTGTAGTGAGAGGGGAGTAGAGACAGGTGAGAAGGGAGTAGTCAGTAGTGGTTAGAGGCTAGCGAGTAGCGGGTACTGAGTATAGAAAGTAATTGGTCATGAGTAGTGAGTCGCGAGTAGCTGGTAGCTGGTAGTGAGTAGGGCGCAGTTAACGGTGAGTGGTGAGTGGTGAGTAGTGGGTGGTGAGTGGTGGGTGCTGAGTAGTGAGTAGTGGGTAGCGAGTAGCGCTTAGTGAGTAGGGGGTAGCCAGTAGTACGTAGTATGTAGTGATGAGTGGGTAGTAAATCGTGAGTGGTGAGTACTGGGTTGTGAGTGGCGAGTAGCGAGTAGCGAGTAGTGAGTAGTGCGTGCTGGGTAAGGCGTTTGGGGTATGGAGTAGGGAGTAGTCAGTGGTTAGTAGTGAGGAATGGGTACTGAGAAGTGGATAGTGAGTAGTGACTAGTGAGTGGTGAGTATATAGTAGCGAGTAGGGAGAGAAGGGCCGAGATTTGTGGGATGTGGGTACTCAGCAGTGGGTAGTGCGTAGTGGGTGGTGAGTTGTGAGTATTGAGTACTGAGAAGCAAGTGGTGAGTATATGTCAGAGTGTAGTGGCCAGTGAGTACTGAACATTGGGTGGTTGGTAGTGGGTAGTGCGCAGCGGGGAGTGAGTGGTAAGCAGCGGGCAGTGAGCAGTGAGCAGAAGTGCTCGGTAGCGTCTAGCGAGCAGAGAGTCTGTAGTAGTGAGCAGTGAGTAATGAGTAGTGAGTAGCGCGCAGGGAGTAGCCATTCGTGAGTAGTGATTAGTGAGTAGTGCGTAGTGGTTCGTGAGTAGTGATTCGTGATTAGTGAGTGGTGCGTAGTGAGTAGTGAGTACTGGGTAGTGAGTAGTGAGCAGTGAGTATTGGGTAGTGAGTGGTGGTAGCGGGTACTGAGTAGTGGGTAGTGGCTTGTGGGTTGTGGGTAGTCTTGTAGTGGACAGTGAGTAGCCGGCAGTGGGTAGTGATTATCGAGTAGGGGATAGGGAGTAGCAAGTATTGAGTAGCGATAGGTAGTGGTGAGTAATGAGTAGTGAGTAGTGAGAAGTGAGTGCGGACTAGGGAGTGGGGGTAGTGAGTTACGATTAGGGGGGACTGGGCAGTGACTAGTAAGTAGTTAGTAGAGAGTATTGGGTAGTGAGTAGTGGATAGCGAGTAGTGAGTAGTAAGCAGGGAGAGGGTTGTAGGGACTAGAGAGAAGTGAGTAGTGAGTAGTGGGTGCTGGCATGTGGGTGTGAGTAGAGAGTAGAGTGTTTTGAGTAGCGATTGGTAAGTAGTGGGTATTTGAAAGTGAGTAGTGCGAATTGAGTCGTGAGTAGTGAGTAGTGGGTAGTGGGTAGCGGTAGTAGTGGGCGTGCGTAGAGATTAGCGAGACATGAGTAGTGAGTAGTGGGTGGTGAGTAGTGGGAAGGGAGTGGTGAGGAAGAAATTGATGAGTGAGTAGTGCGTAGTGAGTAGTGATAG